CTTTGCTGAGGACTGATGAGGTCTGTATGTGGCTTGCAATTGAGCATGATCTCATTGTCAGGACTTCCACCCTGTCACGCAATCTCAAGGATGTTGGTCTCACTCAAAAACTTGCTTCTGAATGTCATGAGGTCTGTCGAGAGGAATTTAATGCTAGTAATATGTCCATATAACATGTAGTGAAAGTAGTGGGGAGGGCTAACAGTGTCTGAAAAACTTGTACAAGTCACAGGAGCTTTCCCTAGCATCCAGGACATGACATTAACATGTATTTCCTTTTTCATCACCATGGATGCAAAATATTTACCACTGCCATTTAATAGCTAGACTCAGAGAAGGCCACTGTCCACTGTGCTTTCACTTTCACTGTTGCTGCATGTGAGCATCAATGGTTAGCAGATGTTATATAAGCAGATAACTCCCTATTAACTATTCACCAACTATACTAGATAGTCATGCAGGTTCATGTGTCTCATGAGTTTGTGTTTTCACTCTAGCACATGCAATTCTACACAGAATCCCTATGTATGTCACATATGGGTACTCCCCAGCATAATACACATTGTCATATTTTTTTTCCAAAAAAAACCAAGTGGTTCTCATGCCAGGGCCCAGTTTATGGTGCTAGAGGCTAATTTTGCACATAGAATGTACACTCCAGCAGTCATATCATCACAGAAAATTCTGAAATGGCACATGGGGATTGTACATGACTAGACCATATTAAAATAAATACTCTGAGGACTACTTTCTTGATAGAATGATGTGCAGTACAATGCCAAAATGTGATGAAGATATCATTGTGCCAATCTCACTTGCATTGGGTTGTGTGGAGTGTAAAATGGGTTGACAGCAGGGTGTGACATAGTGTGACAAAAATGCGAACTTGAGAGACAATCCTACTCTGCTACATGGTAACTCTCTGCTGGACTCAATTCTTCATATCTTGAGAAAAAAAGTAGCAGGCATTGTATTTTAGACATCAGGCTATCCAATGGTAAAATAATTATACTATTTGGCCCAGACATTGAGGAGCTATTGTCATTGCAAAAAAAAATGTGAACTCTGGTAACCATCAGTAGTACTATGTGTTGAGAATAACAAGCTGAACACATCCCTACTAATCAAGAAGCCAAAGTTGGAGAGATATTGGAGTATCTGAGTTATGTCAGAGAATGAATTATATATATGTGTGTTAGGAGTTAGCCAAATGTGATAATCTCCTATTTCCTTGAAAAAAAGCCCTACTACTAAGCCTATGATAAAGTCTCTTACCTAGCTCAAACTCCTCATTCTAAGACTATGGCTTACCACTCACTACATCAGCAGTATATAGCCTCTTATGTACAATTTATGGCCTTTTGAGCACTCTTCCAACCTGCATGAACACCAGAGGACATAGCACAAGAGCTTAATATGGACATAAATTGTGTCACAGCCATACAACAAAACCACTACCTTGGCCCCATTCTTGTTCCCCTGCCCTCAAATCTGGCAGTTTACACCTTGCATGGGAATGGGCAAACAATCCTGCCAACCACAAACATTTCATTAATATGCTCTGAGTCTCTCTAGAAGTATTAAGTCCAGACTCAGCTGTCATATACTCCCCACCAGGCATCATCCAGCAATGTCTCAGTTCTTGGGGATGTGGCCCAACCCCTGGCCTTTGCCCTGGAGGCAAGTTTCCTCCTTGTCAGGTTGTTCCAGGTTAGCATCTGGCATTTCTTCATCATTAGATGGGGTTGCTGGTAGTGTGGGAGTAGCAGGTGGGATGGGAGGAGCTGGACTCAGTGAAGACTAATTTGGCCACTTCCTTAGCTGTGTAAGTGGTTCTACTAGGTACCAGATGTACCATACTACTAAAGAGATTGATAATGACAGTTATCAAATTGTATTCACCATCCCTGTCCTTAGACAAAGACAGTTGCCCCAGAAAGTATTACAGTGCCCCACTCTTTTTCCCATCATCACTGCAGACACCTTATGGCTGTACTCTTGATGCTTCCTTTTCACTGTGCTGTTTCCTCATGGTCTCTCTTACAGTGGCTCAAAAAACTGTCCACATGTTTTGACATTTTTCACTATCTATGATATTGTGTGAGAACGAACAAATGCCTCAAGGACATGCTTATAGCACATTGTAGTATGGCTTCAGGGCTTTCATTTGAGCCCTACACCGTGGGAATCAGAGGAGATATGGTGGAGATACAAGGCTCACAAAATGGTGACTCATGCGGACAGTTTTTTGAGCACATATTAAAATTATATAAATCATCATTTATGACACCATAACAATCATGCCACCATTAAATAAATTATAAAGTGGTGTCATTATGTCATTTTAAAACCATATCTAACTATACAAACCAAAAATTTCCATATGTCATGGTTATATTCACCATGAAAGCCACCCCCCCTGCTCAAAGGGATAATATCCTCTCTCTTTCCTATTCTGGCCTCTCTGCTTGTCAAATTTCCTCTAGAACTGGAGTATCCAAGTCCACTGTGGCCAAGTTCATCAAAGAAAGTCACACAGACAAGGAAAATTTCTGTGAAGGGCATCCATCCAAGCTCACCTCTACTGATAGGAGGGCTATTATTCAACATATCACTACAGGAAAGGCTGATAATGCTGTCCAGGTCACCTATTACATCAATTCCACCATCACATTCCCTGTCTCTTCACACACTGTGAGAAACATTCTCAAGACAGCTCATCTCAGGTCAGTAACAAGGAAGAAAAGGCTCTCCTCTCTATTACACATATACAGAGATGACTAACCTTTGCCTTAGCCCATCAGAATTGGATTACATGGACTGGAAGCATGTTATATGATCATATAAGACCACAATAAATAGGATTGGGTCAGATGGCAAGGTATATATGTGAAACAAGAAGGGTGCTAGTCCTCTCTGCATATGTGTGATAGAGAGGAGAGCCTTTTCTTCCTTGTTACTGACCTGAGATGAGCTGTCTTGAGAATGTTTCTCACAGTGTGTGAAGAGACAGGGAATGTGATGGTGGAATTGATGTAATAGGTGACCTGGACAGCATTATCAGCCTTTCCTGTAGTGATATGTTGAATAATAGCCCTCCTATCAGTAGAGGTGAGCTTGGATGGATGCCCTTCACAGAAATTTTCCTTGTCTGTGTGACTTTCTTTGATGAACTTGGCCACAGTGGACTTGGATACTCCAGTTCTAGAGGAAATTTGACAAGCAGAGAGGCCAGAATAGGAAAGAGAGAGGATATTATCCCTTTGAGCAGGGGGGGTGGCTTTCATGGTGAATATAACCATGACATATGGAAATTTTTGGTTTGTATAGTTAGATATGGTTTTAAAATGACATAATGACACCACTTTATAATTTATTTAATGGTGGCATGATTGCTATGGTGTCATAAATGATGATTTATATAGTTTTAATATGTGCTCAAAAAACTGTCCGCATGAGTCATGATTTTGTAAGCCTTGTATCTCCACCATATCTCCTCTGATTCTCATGATGTGGTGCTCAATCCAAAGCCCTGAAGCAGCACTACAATATGGTATTAGCATGTCACTGAGGTCTTTATGTATTCTCACACAATATTGTAAATAGTAAAAAATGCAAAAACATGTGGACAGTTTTTTGAGCCACTGTACATCAATCTTGACCAGTGAAGCCTGGATTTACAAGCTCATTACAGGCCACCCCGATAGAATCTGCCACAACCTCAGTGTCAACTTAGAAGTCTTTGAAGCATTGGTCTGGATTCTTGAACAACACGGTATCAATCAGTCTTGTAATGGTGTCTCTATGGAGGAACAGCTAGGGATATTTCTGTATGCTTGTGTGATGGGTCTTTTGACTCACCATCTTGGTGAACAGTTCCAGCGCTCCCCTCACACCATTGCCAGGTAAATATTCAGTGTGTCAGCTCATTGGTATCCATCTCATGTACTATTTTATGTAGATATTTCAAGCACCTACTTCTATTTTTTTTCGGATAACCCATTCTATACATTACTATTATGAACTCAGATAGAGCATTGTTCCAATAAAGGAATCAAGATCAGGGTTGATCAAGGACTAAGCCTTATTGAGTCAATGCCTCCCTCAGGAGCAATTGTCTAGACTCCTGCAGGATCTAGAGTTCAAACGGGACAATGGCTAGCCTCCTTCCCAAGGAGCTAGAGATCAAGTATGAAAGAGAACCGAGTAGATTCAAGTTAGAGAAAATACAAGTGGTAACTAGGGTTTATATATGTAAAGGAGTTGTGCACAGACCAAGCTGGGCAAAGGGTAACTAGTACTGGAAGGTTCATGAGAAAACAAGGTATGAGTCAGAGATAAGAGAGACCATGGGGAAACAGCACAGTGAAAAGGAAGCATTAGAAGTACAGCCATATAGGAGTCCGCAGTGATGATGAGAAAAAGAGTGGGATACTGTAACAATCACAAGTTCACATACCCACCATCAAGACATCCCTTTCCCCCAAAATAGCAGATGACCCTTGCTTTCATTTTTTCAACCAATGTATTGGCACTGTAGATGGCACACATATCTGAATTTTTGCCTCACTTGGTGAACATTCCACCATGTGCAACTGCAAGGGATATCTATCCCAGAACTATCTCTTCATGTGTGACCATGAATTTTTATTTATTTACTCACTTTGTGGGTAGGATGGCTCTGTCACTGATGTAACACTCTGGAACAATGCATGCAGCCATGACTTGCATTTTCCCCCAGGCAAATACCTACTCACAGATGCAGGCTTTGGGACATGTGATGCACTATTGGTACCATACTGTGGTGTCCACTACCACCTGAATGAATGGTGTCAGGCAAATCTTCAGTAAGACAAACCCACTGAATTTTCAGCTTCTAACATCTGTCTAGGCCACAGGCACCAGAGAAACTGTTCAATCACTGGCATGCTTTGCTTCACAACATCATTAAATGCATCTTTGGGGTGATAAAACAACAATGGTGCATCCTCTAACTCCCACCAGAGTACAAGATGGATGTTCAAGCACACATTCCAGTAGCACTTTGTGCTTTGCACAATTTCATTCATAGATACAACCCTACTATGTTTGATGAAGATTATGATAAAGATATTTTAGGGCATAAGGTCAAAGAAGGCGCAGCTGAGCTGAATGAGCTGGGGAATGGACCAGCAAATACTTGGGAGAGGTGGAGAGTGGATCTTTGTCATGATACTATTGCTAGGGCTATGTGAGATGATTTTGTTGCAGTGCACGCTGTGTGAGGCAATCCAGTTCATGTAGCATAGTTACAATGTATCTCAACAATTCAGTATAACAGTCATTTGCATGTATTACCATTGCTAGATACATGGAATTAAATGGATGAAGAGTTCAATCAATATTCATGTTAGCATGAACTTCAGCCAATCTCTTCTGCACCCAAGCAGCCCTCAAATTAGCATTCATGTACAGAAACACAACCACCTTGTCTTTGTTCTTCAAAAATAATGGCATCATCTCCAACTTATCTCCATCTGATATGTTGGTAGCCAAAGTGAGGACTTTAACAGCACATGTGAAGTCAGAGGGGGGTGCAGGAGGGGGTGCAGGAATCATGGGTGCAGGAATATGCATGGTGAGTGGCTTGCTCATCTCTTGGAAAGTGCTAGCAAGTGATGATATTGCTGTACTACCCTCCTGCTGTGCTTTGGCAGCCACAGATGGTGGGCAAGAACATTTGCTTGATGGACTTGGACTGTCGACATCAGACTTGAGTGCACTGGCTTTGCGCTTGCCCCAGCTAGCACTTGTCAGTGCTGAAGGAGGGCTTGTGGAAGGGATGTGCGATACATGTGCAGGAGGACCCATGGTAGTAGGTATAGTAGCTTATAATAATGGTACCATACTAGTAGGAGGGCCCATGCTAGCAGAAATTTTATTCATGGCAACAGATAGCTCACAAAGGTCGAGTTAATTGGTGCCAGACAATGTGGAGCCTGCCTTCTGCCTCTGGATCCAGTGAACATGGATTCCTTTTGCTGTACTGCTGGCTGCCAAGAGGTTGAATATGGTGAAATGCAGGAATCTCTTGTTCTGGAATTGCTTGGCATGAGGATGGGACTTAGGGAATAATCAGATTGATAAGAAAAATGATGATAAGCACAGTACTCACCTTCACATACCCCACCCAAGCACTAAGCTGAGCTATTGTCCATGCAAGCCCCCCATCATCTGTCCACATGGACCCTGATGATGACCCTCCAAATCTGAGGTCTGCTGCAGCATGGTAACTGGTCTTGAGAGCAGAAAACTTCATCTTGCAGGCAGTGTCATTCTTCTCACCACCTTTCTGATCTTGAAACTGCTCTGCAAGCACTCTAGCTGCTTTCATATATGTGGCTTTGGGGTAGGTCATCCTATCTGTACCCACCTTATTTTGATGGAGGAAATCTAGGAGGGCTACCTGCTCTTCAACTGTCCAGTGTGCAGGCTCTTTGCAACTGGAGGCCTTGCCTTTGCCTTTGGCTTGAGCATTCTGTCAAGGCTCAGCTACTGAAGTGTCTGTAGATACTGGTGAATGACAAGAGTGACAAGACATGATGGATGAGTCTGTATCTGACAGCATATCAGGGGGATATCAGAGGGATATGAACTGATAGATAAGAGAAGTCATGTTTAGCCATAATGCAGTCAGCTATGGACTACTTCTCATGTTGTTACTAGTAATTTTGTTGTCTTCCAACACTATAATGATGTTATTCTCAAATATTCATAGTTTGGGGGGTCATTTTGCCTCAGCATGACCATTTGTGAGCTATGCTCATTGCAGGTAGTGTCATGCTCCTGGCAAAACTGTTAAGATGACAGGTGAGCTTGCAGGAAGGATAAGGTACTAGAATATATATATCTCAGTCTTGGTACAAAGGACTCTTTGTATATCAGTAACTACCTAGAATATATATCTAATGATTCTATCAGCTGATTGTGCAAAGACTAAGGTATCAAATACTTACATCTCAGTTTTGGTGCAAAGGACTGAGATACTCATATGGCTAATGTCAATCTTTTAAGATACAGGTAGAGTAGGAAGGAGGGAAAAATGACCATATGAATGTGAAACATAATGAGTTGGCTGAATAATGCTTGACAGCACTTGTACCTCATCCAATGTCAACTCTCCATTCCATCTTTGGACTGCTCTGACTTGTCATATCCATATGCCAGACATAGATCCCATCATATTCCCACACTTTCCGTACCTATTTCTGGACCCCATATCCTTCTCATTCCTGGATCCCCTATCCTGTCCACCCTATGCACATTCCATCCAGCAAGACATCTAGACTTTACCTCCTCTTGGATTCCGGACTACATCCACCACCTTACATATCTCAGTCCTGCTTCCACCCTGCCTTCTAGATCCCCAGATCTCTGGACCTCTGGATATTAACTGTACTATCTCTGGACCATTCCCACCCTCTATCTGAGATCCTGCACCTATCCCCATTTAGGCATCTCTGCCTTTCCAGTTCTCAGTTATCTCTGTTTCCATCTTGCTGATTGATCCTTGTATGAGTCTTCATCTCTGAGTTCATTTAGTTATGTTCCATCTTACTTACTAATGTGTTTCCACATGCTTATACATAGCCTTGCTCTATTGCTTACTGATCCCCTCAGATATTCTCCAGTATATAACCCCTGTAGATACTCCTGTAGTTTCCTTAGTCTGAATATCACCTTAGATCTGCCCAATCATCTTCCGGACTTCAGTCCATCTGAGTCTCATCCTTTTCCTGTAAGGCCTAGGGAAGGATGCCCTAGGCTGGAATTCTGGACCTTTAGATTTGTCTCCTATGTCTCTGTCCCAAGTCTAGGGATTGCTTCCCTAGGCTGGAGTCTTGCCTTTCTGGCACTTACCCTCTCTCCAGACTTTGGTCCACTTCCTGTCTCTCTGACTCTACCTAAGGGTAGTCTACCTCAGTTTGCTTCTACATTGGACTTTGTCTGATGTAGCCCCTATTCCTTCCAGACCTCCTATCCTATGCACCTCCAGGCATCCTGTCCTTCAGATGTTCTGCCCTCCGTACCTTCGGACAGTCCCAGTCCTCCTAACCCTCAGACATCCTGTCCTCCTGTCCTCCAGACCTCTGGACATCCTACCCTTCCATCCCATTTCCTGTAGAAGTACTACCTTGCAGTGGGAACTCTCCTGAGCACTTCCTGCATTCCTCCAGAACTCTCCTGCACTCCTCTGGAAGTCCTCTAACACTCTCCACCAGAGTAGCCAGCCTCTGGACTTCATCTGACCATCATCAGACTTCCTCTGAAATGAAGGGCACATACTCAGGTAAGGGGCACAGCATATGAGCTGAGGCCAAGCCCCTCTGAGTCAGTCTCTCTCTCCTTTGAGCATGGTTCTTAACATGACTCCAACACTCCCCCTTGAGCGGTATCCAAGCTCATTAGACAACAAAGTTTCTGAAGGTGTGGGCATGGTAAAGGTTTGGTGAACACATCAGCAATGTTGTTATCAGTAGAGCAGTACAACAGTGCGAAAGTACCATTTTTGATGTTTTGTCATACAAAATGGAAATGAATGTCAATATGCTTTGTGCATGCCTGGAACTTTGGCTTAGATGTGAGGGCGATGGCTGACTGGTTGTCACAGTGGATAGGTGTAGGAAGGGATAATTCGCTGTACAACTCCTCAATGAGGAGTTGCAGATACAGTAACTCATGGGTAACTGTAGTCATGTGCAATGTACTCCACTTTGGCAGTAGAGAGCATGATGAGAGGTTGTTTTCAGGTGCTCCATGTAACAGGTCTACCATTGAGTAAGACTACATACCCAGACATAGAGTGGCAATGGGGCTGTGATGCCCAGTTAGCATCAACATAGGCTTCTAGCCTGGCATTAGTATTGCCAAGGGTGAGCTGTAAGTCCACTGTTCCCTTCAGGTAGCACATAACACACTTACTTGCCTCCTAATGAGTATGACCCAGGTTTTGCATGAATTGCCAGAGAGTCGATACAGCAAAGGAGATGTCTGGTCTTGTTCTGGTAGCCATGTATATTAGTGACCCTATTGCACACTGGTAAGGGACATTCTTCATGGCCTCATGCTGGGTGTGAGTCACAGGGCATTGGGCATCAGAGATTAGAGCACTGGGCTCCATGGGCATTTGCACACTTTTGGCATTGGTAAGTCCAAATTGTTCCAGCACAGTGTCAACATATGCCTATTGGGACAATGTAACAGCACAAGCTGTGTGATTGCATTGGACTTTTAGTCTGAGGAGCCAGGTGAGTTCGCCAAGGTCCATAATCTCAAAATGTTTCTTCAGCTCGTCCTTGAACTAATGGATATGATAAAGGTGCTTAGAAGTGACAGCCATGTCATCCATGGACACCATGATGATGGTATGCTCTTCCTGGGAGTGCTTGAAGTACATGGCTTGGTCAATTTGCAAGTGTGCAAAACCCAGCTTCATAAATTCTCCTGCCAATTCCTCTGATCATTTATATCCTGCCTGCTTCAGACCTGGTAAGCTTCTCCTCAGCTTCAAAATTTTCCTCTCCTGACTAGCCTTTAGGTATCCTGGGAGTGCATGCATGTAAATGTCCTCTTTTAGTTCTGCATACAGGTACACACTCTTTATATCAACTTGGTGAATTTCCCAATCATTCTGCACAGCCATCACAAGAACCATTCAGATAGTCAATATATTGGAGGGGGGGTGTGAATGTCTCACAGAAATCAAGTCCATATTGCTGATGTTGCCTGTTAGCAATGAGTCTGGCTCAGAGTTTGAGCTTTTGGCCATCAGGACCTTGTTTTGTTGCCAAGAGAAAATGGCAAGGAATGAGGATTGCACTTGGTGGTAAGTCCTCCAGTTCCCATGTGCCTAACTTCTCCAGCTGACTGATCTCATAGTCTAACACTTCACTGCATCCAGGCCTCACAATGCTTGGGCAAGTGTTGGTTCTGCAATTGCAGCAGCCATGGCTGTCTGCTCCCATATAGTGAGTGGTTCGTCTCATTGTTCGTTGTTGAGGTCTGACTCTAGGTGTTGGTCTGCCATGATAGCTAGAGCTGCTACTTGGCCTTCATTCAAAGCTGCATAGTAGCCAGAAGGGTGTATGGGTCTTGGAGCAGGAGGCAGTTCAAGGGTGATTGGGGCTTAGGGAGGTGTGGAAGGCATAGGAGGTCTAGGTTCATCTTTTTCTGATGTTATCTGGCCACTACTAACTTGGTTGGTACTATTGGACTCTCCCTCAGCCAAAATATCATCAGCAATGGTCACAGTAGAGGGACAAACATGACATTTCACTCAACTGATACCTTATACCTTCCAGCCCAATAAATACAATATGCCTTACTCATCATATCCAGTCCTATGAAGATTGCCTCCTCCACCCTGGGATCAAGCTTAGTACTATCCTGAAGATGCACATAGCATGGCACTCTGAACTCCCATGCCTGGGACAGATCTGGGATGCTCCCATGGGCTAGATGATATGGGGTGTGGTGTTGCTCTTGATGGTAAGCAATTCTTGAGCCACATGGCATAATTGACAGCCTTGGCCCAGAGGAATTTTGGCAAGTTGCAGCCCAATAGCATGGCCCTAGCCAGCAAGATGAGCGTGCCATTGAGGTGTTCAGCCATGCCATTTTGTTCAGGTGAATCATGAATGGTGAGCTCTTGTTCAATGCCAGCACTATGGAGGTGCTTATCGAACTCTGTGGACAAGTATTCACTGCCATGACCTGAATGGAGCTTCAGGATACATATCTTGTGGTTCTACCTTGTGAGGTGTGCTTTGTTGGAATAACAAGTGCACCACCTGCAGCCAAAACACACCATTGGCTAGTATTGTCTTTGTTCACTATGTCCAGCAACTTGTATGTTTTTCTTTTGTTTGCTCTTGTCATTTCCTCCTTCATTGTATCCACTGAATCTCTTGTTTGCATGGGCCAGCACCATGCATATTCCTTGTTACAGTCTTACTTATTTGTTCATACAAGATCACTTAATCTATTTAGCTAGCTACAGAATTGGATAGTCACCTCAGACATTTGCCTTTGCACATGACTGAGGTAAGATACTTTACATTTCATGTTTATTCACCTTTACTTATATAGTGCAGATAGTCTGTTTGTTTCAGGTGAATACATATAGATGTTTGCCTTCACGCACGACTGAGATAGTCTGTTTGTTCCAGACTTGCACAATTTGTATATTGCTCACAGGTTATGAGCCCTGCACTCTAACAACCCTACATCTCATGTTTCCCTGCTGAAAAAGCTGCATATTCAAGATGTCTACTACTGTACCAGTCACTATGGACACTCTGCCTACCAATGTGCCCAAACTCAATATCAAAGGCACAAATTGGGCAATATTTTCCTTATGCTTCCAGATCACTGTCAAAGCCAAGGAACTGTGGAAACAGTTCAATGGGACTATGTCATATCCTGTATGCCAGACATAGATCCCATCATATTCCCACGCTTTCCGGACCTATTTCCGGACCCCATATCCAACTCATTCCTGGATCCCCTATCCTGTCCACCCTATGCACATTCTGTCCAGCAAGACATCCGGACTTTACCTCCTCTCAGATTCTGGACTACATTCACCATCTCACATATCTCAGTCCTGTTTCCACCCTGCCTTCCAGATCCCCAGATCTCCGGACCTCCAGATATTAACTGTGCTATCTCTGGACCTATTCCCACCCTCTGTCCGAGATCCTGCACCTATCCCCATTTAGGCATCTCCGCCTTTCTGGTTCTTGGTTATCTCTGTTTCCATCTTGCTGATTGATCCTTGTACTAGTTTCATCTCCGAGTTCATTTACTTATGTTCCATCTTACTTACCAATGTGTTTCCCCATGCTTGTACATAGCCTTACTCCTTTGCTTACTGATCCTCTCAGGTAGCCTTTAGTATATAACCCCTGTACAACTACAGTAGAGTCCTCAGTCTGAATATCACCTTAGATCTGCCCAATCATCTTCCAGACTTCAGTCCGTCTGAGTCTTGTCCTTTTCCATAAGGCCTAGGGATGGACTCCCTAGGCCGGAATTCCAGACCTTCGGATTTGCCCCCTATGTCTCTGTCCCAAGTCTAGGGATTGCTTCCCTAGGCTGGAGTCTTGCCTTTCTGGCACTTACCCTCTTTCCAGACTTAGGTCCACTTCCCGTCCCTCCAACTCTACCTTAGGGTAGTCTACCTCCGTTTGCTTCTACATTGGACGAAGTCCAATGTAGCCCCTATTCCTTCTGGACCTCCGGACCTCCTGTCCTCTGTACCTCTGGATGTCCTGGTATCCTGTCCTTCGGATGTTCTGTCCTCCATACCTCCAGACCTCCTGTCCTCTGTACTCCAGACCTCCGGACATCCTGTCCTCTGGACCTCCTATCCGTCCATCCTGTTTTCCTGTAGAAGTATTACCTTGCAGTGGGAACTCTCCTGAGCATTTCCTGCATCCCTCCGGAACTCTCCTGCGCTCCTCTAGAAGTCCTCCTGCACTCTCCACCAGAGTAGCCAGCCTCTGGAAGTCCTCTGGACTTCATCGGACCATCATCGGACTTCCTCTAAAATGAAGGGCACATACTCGGGTAAGGGGCACAGCATACAAGCTGAGGCCAAGCCCCTCTGAGTCAGTCTCTCTCTCCTTTGAGCATGGTTCTTAACAGACTAACCCCAAGCCCACCAGACTATCCACAACATCTGGAGAAACAATGATCATTTCCCCTCCTGACCCTGTGGCACTCGCTCAATGGCAGAAATATGAGAATCTTGCCAAACACCTGCTTACCTAGCAGATTCCAGATTCAACTGTGTTATGTGTATGGAACTTGCCCAATGTTGTGATGATGTGGAATGAGATTGTGTGTGAATACACTGAGAAAGGTGCTTATGCGCAGACAGATCTTTGCACCAGATTTCTTGAATCAAAATGCCCTGGTGGGAGTGACGTATGCCAGTTCTTAGATGAACTCCATGCTAAACACGACAAATTATCAGCAGTAGGTGTTTAGATTGAAGAAAAAGACTACCAGTCCATGATCATTCAATCCCTTCCAAATCACCTCACAAGTTTTGCTTCAGGACAACTTGCCACTGCCCAACTTTATTCCCCTACCCAAACCATAGCCCCAGATATCCTAATCTCCCTCATCATTGAGGAATCTGAATGCCACAGTAGAAAGGATACTTACCTGGTGTGCAATAACACAGGTGCCAGATCCAATGGTGGTGATGAAGCAATGGCAACCACAGACTCACCATCTCAAGGCCATGGAGGCAGAGGAGGCCCCAGAGGTTCTTACTGAGGAGGAAGAGGCAGGGGCACTAGACCTCATCCCCCATGCTGGAACTGCAATTCATGAGAACACTTCAAAGCACAGTGTCCTGAGCCAGATAAGAATCAGTCTGCAGGCACTGCTCATGCTGCCAATGGATCTGCAAATGCAACTGCTAACTCCAACTCTGAGAGTGATGGAGTATTCACTATTGACAAACTATCAGAACTGGAAACTAACAGTTCAGTACCAGATTTGCTCACCCTCTCTGAATCCTCCTATAATGACGATTACCCTTGTGACTCAATGTCAGATGATAACTCAGAAGACTGTTTCTCTGAAGTGAGGGATGACACTGCTTTTTTGGATGACCCTGACTGGACAGATGTTGGGAGTCTGAGCAATGATGATGAGATCATTGCTGAAGTTAACAATGAACAAAGAAGTGATGGACCTATCATCGAACTCTATGATTCTGGATCCATGCATCACATCTTGCCATTCAAGAAAAACTTTGATACCCTCTCTACCATCCCTCCAAAGTCATTCACAGCCACAAATAAGCAATCATTCAATGCTATAGGAGCTGGTAAGATGATTATAGAAGTGCCAAACAGTGTTGATGCATCTAGACTTCACCTCACTGAAGTGCTATACTCACCAGAAGTTGGATACACTCTCATATCAATTGGATGACTCAATGAACTTGGCTTCTTAGCTACTTTCACAGGTGGAAAGTGCATCCTCCATGACCCTGCCAAGGAAGTCATCAGACAAATCCCAAAGACATCAAAGGGTCTGTACCACATCATACATGACGAGAGCAGTGGAAGCGTACATGCTGCAATAGAGACTGTAACCATCATGGAACTCCACAGCCGCATGGGCCATATTGCACCCAGCGCCACTCAAAGGCTTGCTAAAAATGGATCAGTATCAGGCATTAAAGTTGACCTGTCATTAAGAGAACCCACCTTCTGCAAATCATACATCTATGCTAAAGCTACCTGCAAACCTGTAAAGAAAGTTCATGAGGGGGAGCAAGCAAGCAAGTTTGCTGAAGAAGTTCATACCAATCTCTGGGGACCTGCACCAGTTGCCATGCTTGGTGGCTGTATGTATTACATCAGTTTCACAGACGACAAAACTCATCTCACATATTTGCACCTTCTTCATCAAACAAGTGATGCTTTCGATGCCTACAAAGAGTTTGAGGCATGGTGTGAGACCCAGCAAAATGCTACACTCTGACTGGAGAGGGGAGTACCTGGGTAAAGCTTTCAGCACACATCTTAAAGCTGTGGGAACCAAGCAAAAACTCACCATCCATGACACACCATAACACAATGGTGTTGCAGAATGGCTTAACTGCATGCTGGGAGAGAAGGTATGAGCCATGCTTCATGATAGCAGCTTACCATGCACCCTTTGGGGAGAGGCTGTTAAGCATGTGGTATGGTTGAAAAACTGCACACCAACAAAAGCCCTAGATGGTAGCACCTTGCTTGAAGCAGCCACTGGAAAGAAGCCTGACCTACATCAAGCAAGACCTTGGGGCCTGAGAGTATGGGTATGCATTGAAGATGGTGACAAGCTCAGGGGTCAAGTAGAGGAAGGACAATGGGTCAGCATAGACAATGCTAGCAAAAATGGGTGCTAAGTATTCTGGCCTGCTAAATGCAGAGTTACAGTTGAGCATAATGTCTACTAGAACGCTGCTGATGTTGTATCATTCTCTCATGAGGAGGAGGAAGACTTAATTCCCAATGTGATGATAATGGCACAGACTCACTCACCTCCTGCACAGACTCTTGCAACAACGCCTTACAAACTACAGATTCCAAAAGTTCACCATCCCTCCAAAATCCCTGTCCTTTCAACCTTGCTAACACTCAAAATGGTTGCTAAACGAGTTAGAAAGCCCAGCCAGCATGTCTTGGACATAATCAGGCACAAACAGTTCCCTTCCCAAAGGAATACAGTTACCCATGCCTGAAGCTGTAGTGGCAGAAGGAGTTGCCACATATGAAGATGCCACAAACACTTTGATAGCAATTTTGGAAGATGAAGACAATCTTGCAGAGCTGGCCCTAGCATTGAGTGAGTTCACTGCTGACACTGAAGTTTTAGAACCCACCACTCTGGGAGAAGCAAAATGCTGCCCAGACTGGCCCCAATGGAAAGCCAGTATTCATGAAGAGTTGAAAACACTCCAGACAGCTGGAACATGGGAACTTGCTGATCTCCCTGCAGGAGCAAATTTGGTAGGATCAAAATGGGGTTTCCAAGCAAAGAAAGATGCTGCTGGAAATATAGTCCATCATAAAGCAAGGCTCATTGCACAAGGATACTCACAAGTCTGTCGATAGTTGATATGATTGCGACCTCAGTAGATTTGTTTGTCAGTGTTTTGGACATCAGATACTAGTGCTACTCACCTCTTATTTTCTCCCTCAGTCATTTTATTCAATGGCTGAGGTAAGTACTGTGTTTACTTGAGTAGGACGTTGCTGACACATATGTAGCACTTGCGTTCTTAGGTACAGTACATGAATATAGTCGTTTCATTCAACAGCTGAGCACTTGCATTCTTAGGTTATGAGCCCTGTGGCTGCTCAAGTCTAGTAGGTAATCGACACTGAACAACCTTCCATGAACCTGTGATGGGCACTGAGTCAGTGATGACCAATGTCCCCATCCTGTTCAAACATAACTATCCAACCTGGAAGATCTGAATCTGAGGAAAGTTGCAGTGGGAAAAGGTCTGGAGCACTGTCTCTGGAGAAGACCCTGACCCATCAGCACCACAAGCCAGCACAATGTCACCTGCTGCCTCCACTGCTGTGTCCACATCAATAAGTACTGCAATTTCACCTACCACCTCTTCAGCTACATCTGTCCCCTCCAACACCTGGAAGATTCAGAATGACAAGGCTCTCAGTATCATCATCAAATATGTTAGCAATGAGAAACTAGATCTCATTGCAGACCAGACTTCTGCCAAAGCCGCATGGGAGAAACTTGAGAAGGTGCATCAAGGTACTAACCCAGGGCTGAACACATTCTTCACACTCAAGGGTATGTATCATGAATTTGCAGATGTCTTCGATAAGGGAAAGGCTAGCCAACTTCCTCCTCATCATCCATATGATCTCAAGATTGATTTGGAAGAAGGATCTACCCCACCCCTTGGAACTACTTATCCATTATCCCCAGTAGAGCTTGAAGCCCTCCAAAAGTTTATCACTACTACTCCTCTTCCTCTCCTCATGGAGCTCCCATCCTCTTTGTCAAGAAAAAGGATGGCTCCTTACACCTTTGCATGGATTTGCATGACCTTGACCAGATAACTGTTAGTAACTGAACACAGGTGCTGTCTTACTTGGATAGACTTGCAGGGCCTGGAGTACAGGTGCTGGCTGCAAGTACCATCCAACCACTAGGAAACTAGTGGGTCATTGAGTCAAAGTGCAGGCACTGTCTTGTGGCTGGCGATGACTATAGCCTAAGTTGTGGGTGACTACAATGAAGGCTTCTGGTAGATCTAAGACACAATGACCAAGGGTCAAAGCAAAGCATGAAGATCACAAGTTAAACCTTTAGAAGGCTTAAGAGGTTATGGATGAAGTAACCAGGAAGAACCAAGTAGATTCAAGTTAGAGAATACAGCTTAGTATATAGGGGGTTTATATAGGTAGGGGAAACAAGCACTGTTAAGATTGTGTGCTCAAGGGGGTCAGATCACAAGGGCTTGGCCTCAGCTTGTATGCTGTGCCCCTTTCCTGAGTATGTGCCCTTAATTTCCAGGGGCTAGAACAGTCATCCGGAGTTTCTGGGTTTTGACTAGGGTGGATAATGGATGTCCAGATCTGAAACATGAGATAAATCCAATGACATCTAGATATTACCTGGGCAAGTGGATAAGACTAATCTGGATGAGGTCTGGACTACCCTAAGGTAGAGTCGGAAATGTAGTCTAGGATGCAATCCTAAGACTCAGAATATGACAAGAGACTTATCTCGAGTCCGGAGGACACAGGAATGAGCAGGAACTAAGATGATATTCAAACTGGAGTATTTCCAAGAGTTACAGGAGGTTTATATACTGTAGGTATCATATAGGAATCAGTCAGCAAACATAAAGGCTATGTATGAAGCATATGCAAAGTCTATTAGTAAGTAGGACAGATCACAAATAATGAACACCGGAAATGAAATGTATGTAATGGATCAATAATCAAAAGGGAAACATGGTTAACTGGAGTCCGGAGACAGGGGCAGTCTAAATGGGGTTGGGCGCTGATATAGGGTTTGGATTCCAGAAGGGAGATAAAGATAGATCAGATCATTTGAGATCCAGATCTCGGATCCGGATATCTGGAGAAGCGGATTTAGAGTTGAGAGTCTGGAATGGCATATGACACCACCTCTGTCTACAACAGCCACTACCACTAGTTTCTAGTCTGGACTCATCCGGATTAGCCTTATGATACTTATCCTGCATCCAGAAGTCATCCAGATCCACTATGCTACCCGTCTGACCCTCCAGATGCATTAGTCTTGCCTTCCTGAAATAAGGGGCAATACTCAAGTAAGGGGCACAGCGCATGAGCTGAGGCTGAAGCCCTTCAGATCCATTTAGCCTTGAGTATGATGTGGGAAACACAACAAGAGAGAACTGGAAAGTAGACTTCTAATGTTGGGCTAAATGTGCTATGCCTAGTTGCTATTCAACCCTAAAGGGTTTCTGGACTAAGCTCAGTGCTCAAAGAGGATAGGAAATCATGCTAATAACTCTCAGTCTCAGACTGGTACTGGTAGGTGGTGAAAACTATTATGATTACATAAGCACCAAAAGTGCGAACATAACACTAAGTAATATCTGCCTATACAAACCCACAGAATATGAAATCCCTACAACAACCTTAACAATTCATCTATAATTACTCAGATATTGTGGTTCCTCTCACCCAGCTCACCAGCAAGGATGCACCCTGGATTTTTTGGATGAGTGCTGAAAATCCTTTGAAACACTCAAGAAAGCTTTTACTACAGCTCCAATACTTATGCATTGGATGCTGAATATTCCTTTGATTGTGGAAATGGACACTTTGGATTACACTATTGCTGGCATACTGTCCAAAGTATGTCTGGATTCTGAAATCTGTCCAGTAGTGTTCTATTCCAGAACTCTTACCCCTCTGGAACTCAATTACAATACCCATGATAAGGAACTCCTAGCTGTTCACAAGGCTTTCCAGACCTGGCAACACTATCTTGAAGGCTCATCTGAGCCTATTGATGTTGTCACAGACCATAAGAACCTTGAGTATTTCACAACCACCAAACTCCTCTCTCGCCATCAGGCTCATTGGTTGAAATTCCTTCACCAATTCAACCTCATCATCTGTTTCTATCCCAGAAAACTTGGTGCCAAATCATATTTCCTTACTAGACACTGGGACATCTATCCCAAAGAGGGGAATAAGGACTATGCTCAAGTTAATCCTCATAACTTCTGTCCTGTATTCACTTCCAAACAGTTAGCTTTGTCCCTACAAGCATCAACCTTAGCATTTCTGGTACTCTACGCAGCTGTACTTATGGATGTTGGACAGCTCCATAAAGATATCCTTTCTGTACTCCCCAATGACCCTATCACATCTGCACACATGTCCAGTCCTCTGGATGATAGATGGACAGTGGATGATAGTGGTTTCCTCCATTGTGACAATGACATATATGTTCCAGAATCCAATAACCTTAGGCTTTGTGTCCTCTGGAATATGCATGACTATCTGTTATCTGGACACTTCAGTCAGAACCATACTTTAGAGCTTATCCAATGAGAATATACCTGGCCTGGAATATGCACCTACATCAAGGACTATGTCAAATCCTGCACTACATGTGCCTGAGCCAA